AAAAAGTACTCCAGAGTGTTGTTCAGCATGGGGGTGAGTAGAAAATGAAGGCTAATCATGTTTTGGGTGTACTATTCCTTTAACATTGGATTACTGCTTGAGCTGCTTGAGTTATTTACTGTCACAGGTAGGAGCTTCGGCCAGAGAGAGTTGGGGCCGGCATGATTTAAGGAGGGCCGGCTCTCGCACACTGAAATTAGGACTGGCCCACCGGGCAAATGCCCACTATCACAGATTACCAGTCCGAGCCTGCATCACTGATATGTTGTGTGTGAATCTTAAATGCTCCGAAGAATGAGAGTTTTTATACGTAGAGCAGATTGAGAACAGAGAAAGAAAAAAATACTGACATTCAGTTTGCTGCTTTGACTGGAAACAAATAGAAAAGCAACAATTAATCAATCTAAAAACATGTTTCTGAAAAAACTGGCAGACATGCACAGACTAATTTATCTGGTTAATAGTGACAGCATTTCTCTAACAGAATGAGGCAATTTAGATTAAACTCAACAAAAAAACAAAGAGGAACCTGGATTTGACCGCCAGAAGCCAAACCCAGGATACAGAGGTTCAGTGAATGTGGTGTTGAAGGTGTGGAGGTGGATCAGAGAGTCAGAGGAGACTCTGTAGAAGGACAGAATGCCAGCAGGACAGTCCACATAGACTGCTACTCTGTTAGAGACAGACGAGGAGGAGGACGAGGAGGAGGAGGAGGTGGAGGAGGTGATGAATATTGGTTTGTTATTGTGCCAAATATAGTAACCAAGATCAGAGCAGCTCAGCCTCCAGGACTGATCATTCCATCCAAACCAACAGACTTCATTTTCTTCTCCTTTCCTTCTGATTCTTCTATAACTCACTGATACATAAACCGTTTTCTGCCAGTCTACCTCCCAGTAACAGCGGCCAGTCAGTTCAGATGAACACAGCAGCTGAGGAACATCAAACCTGTCTTCATGGTCAGGATATGGCTGAGCCTCCTCCACGTAGGTCACCTTCCTGTTGCTGTTGGACACTTTGAGTTTTCTGCTCACTGTGTTTGCGTCGATGATAAGTTGACAGGAATCTGATGAAGTGAATAAACAATCCAGCTGCAGTTATTGGTCATTTATTGACACTTTGATGCTGATTTTTCAGTAACTGATGAGAAAATGTAAAAGATGCTTTAAAAGGAGCTTTAAAATACTTACACTTCCTCAAACCTGGTGTCAACCATTGGACTCCAGCAGGCTCCACCCTGAAAGGAGGAGGAGGTCAGACCGTCAGTCTCTGCAGGCATGCACATAATGACATTACACGTGTCGCAGACAAATATTGTCCAACACTGAGAAAGGAAAAGTCCAACATTCAGACACATCCACTTTAAAAATCTAAAGAAGGGAGGAAGAGTTGTCAGCAGAGAAACACCAGGAGTCTCATTTATCAATCTGCACAGCCACACAATGGGGCCTGAAACTTGCACACACTTTTCAGCCAAAGGTTATCTTTCAAAAACAATTTGGCATAAAAATATAAATTCCCTCATATCATATCTGACAAAGGCATACGCTCATTTTGGAAGAAAGCCGAAAACAGCCTTACAAGACATCCAATTTCTTTTATATACAAACCCGATTAAAGCTCAACATCATTATAAGCGTCCAATATTACAATTTAATTCCTGCTAGCTCTGATGAAACAGAATTATATACCAGGCCTGTCAAATAAATAAAAAAAGGCCTCTGAAAAGCTCAAATCCTTTGTAATCCCTCATCATTATGAATGTGTTTTGATGCAGGGCGTTCACACTGACTGTTGCCTTCTCCTG